CCACTTGGGAGCAGCTGACATGAAAGTGAAAAGTCCCATCATCACCTCACAGACGGAATAGATAAAAAAGAAAACAGGGAAAGCAGATATGGGAGTCCGAGAATGAAAGTTCAAACCGACGTCTCCAGGCTGTGCACAGGGCTGTCCGAGCGGGAGGCCACGATTTGCACCTGGCTGTGCTCCACTGCATTGTTGTTTTTGTTGGCATATGGAGTGACCTCATCATCTGACGGGAGCACCTTACCCCCAGACTTAAAAACCTTGTCAAGGTTTCCTTCCTCTTGCTCGTCCAGGAGTGGTGTTCGTGGTGGCAACTCCTCATCTATGAAGAACTCAGGGTGGGTCATGAAGTTGTGGATGGAGTTTTGGTTCCCGGGTTTCTGAATGCTTTCGTGGAGGGAACTATGGAATGCTTTGACCACTTTGATCTACACGAGGGGAAGGAAAAGGAGGAGGAGAAAGACGAGAAGTGAGAATCGGCTAGCAAAACAAGGAACTGGTGGTTGGAGGAGAGAAGCAAAACCCAAACTACAAAACATGACTGCTCAGCAACCAAGACCAAACATGTGAGGAGAGATCACGGGCACTAGAAACATCACATGGTTCAGATTTCAAGCACTGGGGTGGGGTGAGGTGAGAGATGGCAAACAACTAGCATGTTTCAAAAGCTGCGTTCAAAAAAAGTAGAAAACCCAAAGCAAAGTTAGCATTCCCAGACAATCCACTCTTACAATGAAACAGAAAACAAAAAGATTCATTAGTTCTTTTCGATGGAGGGCAAGGACATTGGAACTAGGTGCAAATTAACAGCCAAACTTAAAAGATGATACAGACGTGTAAATTTCTGTGTTGAGGCCAAACATTTTGTGAATGTGAAATGAAAAAATGATACATTGAAGTTTAGTTATCTGTTTAAAACCCTCAAAGAGCCAACATATACCAATCTGCACATAATACATGTTGGGTGACAAGTGACCACAGATACCGTGCAGCCAGGCAGACAAACCGATCTTCATTTGTGTCAGCAGCATGCAGGAAGTCAAAACTCTTCGATTTAATAATTTGCCATTTCAGTCAGGAGACATGCACGTATCACACCCCACAAACTCTACTGTATCCCCTCCCCTCCAAAAAAGCAGAACTCCACTCCTTCAGTCCCTCCCCTAGAAGATGAGATAAAACACAAGTGTCAAAAATGCCTTTTCCTGCCTACAGAGAGAAGACCTGGCTCTCACAACTCAAGTTCATGTCCACGCCTCTGACAGCAACTGTGCCAATCATGCCGCCTTCTCCAGCTGTTTCCAAATTGTGCACAGGAACACGATCTTATGTGGCAAAGGGAAAGGAAGGGACCAAGAAGTGAAACCTAATCCAGGAGGCAGCACTATAAACAAATGGCCTTTCTGATGGGGTGGATAAAGGGGATGCAGGAAAGGAAACAATTGGCAGTTTTACTGGGCAAAGAAAAACGCATTGCCCTGTGTCAAAATCTTTGTTCTATTGCACAAAAAAGGAAGGATCTCGGTCAATTCAGAGTCAAGAGGAAAAAAGTGACAGTAATTGGTCCCTGCAAATAGCCTTTGCTTATCTGAAGGCACCAGCTCTCTTGGCAGCTCTGCTTTTCTGAATTGTAGATCTCTCTGAGGTGTGGCTTAGAACCTGGGGTGGTAGATCTGGGGTGGGGGAGAGGGTTGGATCCCCACGAAGTTGGAGAGAGAGGCCAGGGAAAAGTAAGTGGTTGTAGGACAGTTTTAGTTGTTGGGAGGTGACCAATCCTAGTCTTGTTCAAAAATTCTTCCCTCGGGCCGGCCCAGTGGCGCACTGGAGAGTGCGCCGCTTGGGAGTGAGGCGGCGCTCCCACCGAGGGTTCGGATCCCATGTGGAGACCGGTTCCCGCTCACTGGTTGAGCGCGGTACGGGCGCAACACCGAGGGTTGCAATCCCATTACCGGTCCCCGGTGCGGGCGCGACGCCGAGGGTTGCGATCCCGTTGCCGGTCAGCAAAAAAGAAAGAGGAGAAATTGTAGAGGTGGGAGGGGACAGAGGGTCCCCGGTGCGGGCGCGACGCCGAGGGTTGTGATCCCGTTGCCGGTCAGCAAAAAAGAAAGAGGAGAAATTGTAGAGGTGGGAGGGGACAGAGAGGGGTGATGCATGTTGGGATAGAGCACTTCTTTCATTCCTCTGCTGTTTAAGCAAAAAAATACGTTCCTGGAAAAGAGGCAAGAGTGTGGAGACAGCAGAGCACAGAGAGAGCCCAATAAACTGGTGGGCTTGCCTGTCCCAGTGCTTCCTGCCCCTGTCTAGACCTTCGCAAACACTGTGCATGGAAGGTTCGCCATCAGTCCTGTTGGCCCCTCCTCTTTGGAGAAGACTGTACTTCTGCTCACTGAGGCTTTTCTTACCCTGCCTCACTCCACCACACCTGCAGACCCTCCCAGGACTGAGGGTGCTCAGAGCTTAGATGGCAGAAGAGTCCTTGCCACTCAGTAGTATTGGCTCAACCCCTCAGCTAAGAGTCATGGAACCTGGGCACACACTCACCATGCTGAACGGAAAGTGAGGACCCCCTTTTCCATCCTTCTATGCTTCCTACTGACCGTGTTATGGCTGAATTTTGCCTGTCATGTTGCTTTTGCTCCAGATCTACATGAGATCAGATGGAATGAGGCTCTGTTTGGTTTTCAGGAGGTCCCAATTTTCACTGATCTACATCCAGTCTTAGAGGGAGGTAGGGTAAGAGGAGCCCAAACCCAATGCCTTCTCCCTTGGGACAGATATACTGACCAAGGGATAGAGCCAAAGCTATCCCACCTCCTGCAGGAGTGGTAATATAGCCCACACTTTTCATCTGCTCCTGAGATCTCAAAATTTTTAATGAGCACTACAGGAGAGCAGGTGCCTTGATACCATCCGTTTATCATCTTTGATATCAGTGATTTTCAAACATCCTGCTTCTATTTTTTAAAAATGATCGAATACTTTATAGAAACAATTATACAGGAAGTTCACTTTAGAATTTTTAAAAATTGGGGTTGGAGTGAGGGTCTGGAGTCCTGTTTTCTGATTTTTTCCTCTTACCTGTTGGAGTGACCAATGATACTTTTACAGGTGAAGAATGAGGGAAATAAAAGTGAATCAGGGATGGGTAGATGGACAAAATAGGGAAACCTTCTTTGGGGGATCAAGGAACAGTCATCCAGCTAGACTGCAGGACTTCTGGAATCTAAAGGGAAACCAGCTGTAAGGGAAGCCCAGGTAAAGGGTCAGAGAGCCAGGCTGCACCACCTGGCCTGGTGGGTAGAGAGAGGGGTTAAGGGGTAGAGGGCATGGGGCTGTGCCAGAATGCTCCTCAGAGAACACACGCTGGTGAACAATCACACAGTGTACCACCACCAATCCACCCCAAGGGCTGGCATCTTCCCTTCTTGGAGCATGGTGCCTGGTGTGCGAACAGTGTATGCGGACGAGATGGGGCTAGTGAGGTGAGTGCGGCGAAAGCTTCGAGCACTCTCTACTCGGCCAATCAGCCCTTCACTGGTCATCATTTCTCAAAACCTCTGGGAAATGTTTCTTCTGGGGCCCCTCCCCTACAGGTGAAAGTGGCTGATTGAAGGGCAACTCTTTTTCATGACTCAGGAGCCCTGACCAGCCTTGACCTTAGATGAGGTTTAAATGCTAAAGGCTACTCTCCAGAGCTCAATGAGTGTGTGGATGAAGACTCCATTTCTTAGCTGGAATGCTGTCGTTTTCTGCTCCCTTTTCAGAAACCAGAAGAAAAGAAAGATTAGGGCCTCCCTATAGAGGGAAATCTTAGAGATCTATCTAATGCAGGTTGGACAAATAGTTTCATTCATTTGGAGATTTGGAATGGGAAAGAGAGTTTTAAAACAAATGACTATAACTTCTGGACCTCCCAGTGTGAAGGCACAGCTGGAGAAAGAGCAGGGGTAGCCTGCCTCTCCTCTGATCTTCTATTCTAGCCTTTGAGGGTTTGGGGCATACCCTCTACCAGTTCCTCTACAGGAGCCCACTGGGCTCTGTCTTCTGCCACCATCGAACCACTGGGACATCTGACATTAACACTTCCTACCAGAGAGGGATGATTAAGAATAGAAGCTAGTTAGAAGGGGAGAGAAAAACTAGAAGAAAAAAGGAATTAAGAGAGGAATATGGAAGGACTAGAGTGAGAGGCTCTTGGATACTTGCAGGGTAAGACTTATCTAGTTCTTTCTTGCCTGCCTTTGGGCCTGAAGAAACAGTATGCATCTACATCAACCCCAACTTCAAATCTCACACCAGACCACTTAACAAGTGGCTAAAAGGAAAAAACAAATCTGAGTCTGGTCACCTGCCCAGCTCATCACCATGTGAACCACAGACAGTGTAACTGCTCTTTCTCCACTCTCCCGTTGCAGAATTGGAGAGCGGGGCTGGGCGTGGGGAAGGAATGCACGGACTGAATGCTCACCGTATGTTTCATACAGAGAAAATCCTTCCCCACCAAATACCTTAACAGGACTGTCAGCAAAGAGCTGGCTGCCTTCTCTCTCCTCTCTGTGTCCCATTTGGGGAAGGTAAAATGACCAGGAATAGGAAGTCATAAGCATTAGCAAGAATGCAACAACCCACCAATGGGAACACCAGATCCTAGGTGGAGAGCTGACAGCATCCCTACGAAAGGTGGGCTGAGAAAGGGGAGGGGGGTCTTCTTTTTTTCTTTTTCTTTTTTTTTTTTGTCCTTTTTGAGACCGGCCGCACCGCGCTCAGCCAGTGAGTGCTGTGAGCGCACCGGTCATCCCTATATAGGATCCGAACCCGCGGCGGGAGCGCTGCTGCACTCCCAGCGCTGCACTCTCCCGAGTGCACCATGGGCTCGGCCCAGGGAGGGGGGTCTTAAAAGTTTGTGTGCGAAATAAGATACAAAGGGCTATTGATGCAATGATCAATCTAGAGAAAAGGAGAAGCAAAAGAAGAGTTGTTCTTCAGAAACTCCTAAAAAAATTTTTAGTAAATGAAGAAAAAGTAAGTTATTTTGACACTTTCATATATTTCTCCTACCCAGATGTGAATTAATTGATTCTTAAGCCAGAGTTTGGATTAAAGACCCTGCAAAGCAAAATCACAGGGATGCTCAGCCCTGTATATTTCAACTGAACTACCTTTTTTTCTTCACATCCAGCTACAACTTTTATGCTAATATTGTCAGCTAATAATACAGTGGTAGCCAAAAGGACTATTATTAGTGATAAAGTTCAATATTGGCTTAACTGTGACAGGTCCACAGGTTAGAACCCATGGGCACAGTAGCTCCCTTCATACCTTCCTTTAGGAGATCCCACAGTCGCTCCCCACCTAGTGAAGTTCAATATTGGCTTAACTGTGACAGGTCCACTGGTTAGAACCCTTGGGCACAGTAGCTCCCTTCATACCTTCCTTTAGGAGATCCCACAGTCGCTCCCCACCTAGTAAAGAGAGTTCCTGCGTGTTCATTCAGCCTAACCTCATGTCTAAGCTTAGAAAGTAGAGTTTAGACTCAAAGCAGCAGGAGGAGAGGAGAGCAACCACATACCCAAACAAAGCAGACAACAACAGCAGCAGCAAAAAACTAGGCAAAGCAAAGCAAAACAGAACAGAAAAACTCAAGAAAAGGAAGAAACAAGCAACACAGAGGAACAATCAGAAGACAGGATTATTGTCTTTAAAATGGTTAAGTTTAATACCTTTTCAACATTTAAAAAAATAAATAAATAAAAGGGCGCACAGCCTGGCTTGAGAGTGGGATTTTTGTCTTTTCTTCCCTTAAGTCAAAAGATCAAAGGGAAAAGCCAAAAGGGAAAGATAACCACGGTTGGTTAAAGTGGATGCTACGTGCTCTCTTGTGGTCATTTTAGCAAATCATGCATCACAATAGACTATCACTCACTGCCCATGGTAGGAGATGAAACAGCAGCAGCAACAGAAGTGGTGGGGGGAGATCTGACTGGTGCAACTGCTACATAGGACGAGCTAGGAGCAAGTTTTACATCATGGTGGTGACCCATGTTCTGTCGCCTTAGGACTCCCTTAAAAGAGGCTCCCGTCTGGAATGTGTTAATTACGTCGATCTGCAAAGAATCAGAGAGTGAGACAGCTTTGCTCCACAGTCAGAGAGAAGTGAAGAAAGAGGAAGGGAGGGTCACGGAGGGTTGGAGAAGATGGATGGAAGTAGCTGGGAAAGGGAGACAGGAGATGGAAGGCAGGAGAGAGTCCCTCACGCACAAAGCAATCGTAAGGAGAACGGGAAGTGGGGGGGAAACGTTAATCATACATCACACTTCATTTAAGGAACAATTTGCCATGGAGTCCAAACACCCATCCAGAATCCAATTTTATCTTCCCTTTTAATCTTTGGTGGATGTTTTAGGTGTACAGGCGTCGAAGAGTATTTAAGATTTAACAGCACTTCCTCCACCCCATTACTCCTAACAGCTAGACAGAGACTAGCAGCATATTCACTATTTTGACCTGTAGTTTTAAAAAAAAATCCATGCAATTTAAGATACTAAGTAAAATGCAAAGTACATATTATTGAATTTCAAGGCTTGGGAACCTCTAAACCAATTAAACTATCTACTTTGCAGATTTTCCAGGAAAATAACTCGTGTTTAGAGAAAAAACACAGGCAGTGTAGTAGCCCATACATAGGTAGCCATGGTGGAAAGGCCCCTGCTTATCCTCTTCTGGGTATCTTCTCTGAGATACCCTCTCCCTGGGCTAATGGGGACAGGACTCCTAAGAATGGAGCTTGGGAATCCAGTGGCCAGGTCCAGCAGAGAGAATGCCACTAGCTGCATTGACGCATTGGAGATCCTGAAATGTGTGGCAGAAATGCTGTGAATAACTCAGCAGTTAGACTGAGGGAGGGGAGGAAGTTTTTGGTTGTTGTTGGTGGTGAACAGCTGCAGTTCTAGGCAACCCAAGCATTCTCTGGTTTGTAGGGTGCTTCTCAGAGACAGAGGCAATTAGTGCTGTTCGTTTTCCAACAATGGTCTTGACCTGGGGCTTCAATCAAATCTATCGGACTTATCCCTGACCTCTAAGTAATAAGGAACACATCAAAAGGAATTCCCTTTGTCCTTCATGGATCTGGTAGAATAATCCCAGAAATAATCTCAGAACTACCCACCCCCGTAATACCAAGGGTTAGTCTATCAAGAGTGCAGGAAAGGTGCCGATAGCATTGATCTGACTTTCTTGCCCCGGGAGAGAAAATGAGGAAGCAGGCACCTTGTGAGTCAGACAGTTGCTCATACTGATAAAAATTCCTGAGAAGCCATGAAATGTTTAGGGTTAGTTTCTGGATGCAGATCAAAGTTTGAGCAAAAGCACCATCCCTTCCTCACATTATAGTTTTCAGTTCCAGTGGACTGAGGAGCCTGAACCCACAGGAGGAAAGAGTTACACTCCAGAAGGGTTCTAGCTCCACAGAAGAGGGGTTGTAGATACTTTCCACAGTGCTTATTAGGGATACAAGGTCCCAACCTCCACAATAAAAAACTGGATCCCAGGTTGACCTTCCCAAGATTCTAGCCTTTTAGTTTCCCACACTTTTGATTTCTAGTGGCTTTAGCTTCCTAAAAACTAAAGAGAAAAGGAGAAGGGAGGAATAGCCTAGAACCAGTAATCACAGTGCTTATTAGGGATACAAGGTCCCAACCTCCACAATAAAAAACTGGATCCCAGGTTGACCTTCCCAAGATTCTAGCCTTTAAGTTTCCCACACTTTTGATTTCTAGCGGCTTTAGCTTCCTAAAAACTAAAGAGAAAAGGAGAAGGGAGGAATAGCCTAGAACCAGTAAGGGGAAATCCCAACCAGGACTGGATAATAGCTTGGCAACACCTCCCACCCCCGAGGGTTGCAATCAGAATAACGAGGATCAACAATCAGATGGCAGGGGATTTTGTTAGAATCCTACCAGAGCTGAAGTGTTGATGCCAGGAGTGGGCCTCAGGTACCTGTGATGTACATTAGCACAGTCAGCCTCATTTGTTTAGAGTCAGGTGCACACTGGAATGGCATGGATTTGGTCATTGTGGAATCTTTAACAGGTTACCTTTGGTGCTTAGGTATAGGCTTTTATGCCATTCCTGCCCAACTGCCTCATGCTCCAGCAGGGAGAGGTAGTACACCTAAAGCTACTGTAGGCAGTGGAACCAGACAGATAGGTGCATAGTCGAGGGAATGAAAATTGGTAGCGGAGGGGAAGGAAGACCCCTGAACCTCAGTCCCCCCAGGAGAGAAGACTGGCAAGGAGCGAGAAGGCATTAGAATGAGGGAATCCTGGCTAGGAAAAAAATCACATAGTAGAATAGGAGGCAGGCGACCCTGAAGGGAAGAAAAGCAAAGACAGGTTATTTTTGAAAAGAGCAGACCCAAAATAAAGCACTGGGGGCTTCAGAGACGGGAGCCAAAGGCGCCAGGTTCTATGGGTACTTGGTGGACTCAGCAGCCTGGGGGATGGGGTGGGGTAGGAGTGGGCATGGGCACTCTGGACACAAGGCAGTTTGTGCAGGTCCTGCTGGAATTTCCCTTTCTGAGAAAAGGAACTGGGGAGAAGGGAAAGGAACTGCAAGGTTCCCTACCTAGCCCTTCTTTTCCACTTTTCCATCTGTGGTCTCACCCATGGGAAATAAGTTCCTACCAGGTAAGTAGTTTAGAATATTCATTTCATCTGTTTTCCCTATCACTAAAGGGGAGGGGTTGACTGCGGAACTTTCTAAACCATCTGCAAGGCCGATGTGAGAGAGTAAAACTTATTTTTGGGATCTCCAGCCAGTCAGCAGAGAGAAACAGGTCTGTTCTCGGGAGAGCACCCCAGAGACTTTGGAACTTACAGTTTCTTGATGTGGGAAATCTCAGGATTATAACATAAAGGTATGTTGGGGTGAGAGCAGGGAAAGATGGAATTATCAATGCCTAGAACTGCCCATGCACCCAGTAGAAGGGAGTTATACCTGTTGCATTGAAGGTGGGGGAAAAAGTTACTGCAGAGGACTTAACAGCAGATTCTATCCCATTTCAGAAATTGCAAGAAGGAAAAAGGTTTGAAGAAATTACAGCTTCTTCCTTGTCAGGAAGCGAGTCTGAATTCTGCAAAAGATACTCAGGCATTGGGAGACTTTTGTCATTTATGTACACTTAACCATCAGATTCCCCACCACGGCCTTAAATTTTCAGTGGGGAAGATATAAGAGGGTTTCCTTTACAAAGATCCCTCCAGATAACCATAATGGCTGGGTGAGGGCATTACACTGAATGTCTGCTGGGGATGTTGGCACAGAGATGTCGCCTAACGCCTTCCTGCTGAAGGGTAGGGAAAGACTCTGCCCTCCCACCCTGAGGTCAGGTCTAGTGTTTGCAAGAGAACTTGGCAGGAAGCTTGCCACCTGACAGAGGGCCGGAGAGTGGGCGTTAGAACCAACCCAAAGCTAGAGGACTATACTAATAGTGTCCCGTGGTCTAGGTCCTTTGACCACTCTCCTCTCGGAGGAGCCCACACAGATACCTCTGCTCCTGTCTGTCCCAAAGCTGGGGAGCTATGGCCGCCCATGAGTAGTGAGCCTCAGAAAGGGGAGAGATGCTGGCCACCAAGAACTGTTGCCCTCCCGTCGCCTCCCAAGGTGGGGAGGTTTCTTTTCCTAGAGTGAGGGAAGGCCACTATCAGAGTACCTGAGTCTGGATACGGTTCAGGCCCCGGAACCAGAGGATCTGGCCTCGGCGCAGCTCCATTTCTGCATGGTCAATCTCATCCAGGCCCTCGGCATCCTTGGTGATCTCCTCTTTGGTGGTGCCATGCCCAGCCTCCTTCAGGAACTTCAGGGATTGGGTGGGTATTGCAGAGATTACCTGAGGACGGGCACAGGGAGAGGGGAGACAGCAGAAGCAGAGTGAGAAGAGCTGTCAATCGGCTCCCACGGGTCAGGCCCCTGGGTGGGTTATTCTTGTCCTGTCACTCTTCCCACCGGGACAGCAGTGGGGAGAGGCATCAGTCTGTTCAGGCGACATTCGCCAAGTGCCCCGAACTGTCAAACTCTCAGGAAGGTTCTCTGTATTTATGGATGTACAAAAGAGAATTTATATTTCAGTAATCTACCAGCCATTTGCCTACCTATATACTGCATTTTCCTCTTTCTGTCTCGGTTCTTCCTTTCCATTTTTCTATCTGGCTTTTAAGGAAAACAGAACTGTAATGCATGGTACACAGCAGGGAAGCACAGAGACCAGCAGCTGGAGGAAAACAGTCTGGGGAGAAGAAGTTCACATTGAAAGTGTACGGGCAAAGGGCAGAGAAGGGGGTTGGAAGCGAATGACCCCCTTCTTGGTTACCATATGCAAAGCAGCTCTTGTGTTATAAAGCTATAGTGAAAGGATACTAAAAGTTTTCTTGGGCTTGGGGTGAGGAAGTAGGTAGGACAGGCCATGAAAGAAGGGACACATGAGTATTATCAGAAGAGGTGGAGCAGTAGGGTGGGCTTGCAATTCAAAATAAATGACTTGGCATCTTGGCACCTATCAGTCACTTCTCCTTTACAAACAAGAGCAGTAGACAGGGCTCAGGTGGGAAAGAGGGACTGTTTGGACGGTCCAATATGGAGCCACGTGTTTTGAAATGGGCAGAATGTCAAAGCTCTGCTTTTGGGTATTGGAAGGAGCCGCTGTGATACAGAAGAAAGGCTGTTATCTGGTATCGAGGTCTCACAGCCATGTGCGAGACCAGACCCAGAAGATAGTTTCAAATGACAGGTGAAACAACCAAGCCTCACTCAAGTGCAAACTGCTCTAGGAAACCACTGGGAAATCAACTTCATCCAACAGGAGAGGGTGGAGGGAACTGGGTTAGGAATTGGGATTAGGGCTAGTCAGGGAGGCATCTAGGAGATGTGAAAGAAACAACTAGCAGGTCCAAGTGGGAAGGCCCACAGCTCTGGGGAGGGCTCTTTGGGGCCAGTTATGGCAAAGCCTCCATTACACAGGTGGCTGGTCACTAACAGATGATCAGCAGAGAACCGGGGTTTGCAAAGAGAGGTACAGCCCAGGCCAGAGCTGAGGACAAGGGAGACTGGAAAAGTGGTATTATGGAAGGAATGAAACTCTTACCAGACATGACGATATTACTATAATTAACAGTAACATTTACTTAGTACTTACAAGGTACTAGACATTGTTTTAAGTCTTTTCTGTCTAGTAACCAATTTACTGATTAACAACGATCAACAACGGCCCTGTTATCCTAAGTCGAGGATACCGAGGCACACAGTGCTTAAGTAACTTGCCCAAGGTGATTCAGCTTGTAGAAAGGAAAGCCAGGATTCAAACCCAGACAGTCATCCCCAGAGTCCATGCTCTGAACCATATGCTACACTGCTTCTCTAGCGATCTTGTAAATCTGAATTTATCTGTCTCAGGTCAGAGGCAGGCATTCAACCCAGAGAAAGCCATGGTAAGAAACAGAAGAGGCTGGGGAGCCCTGAATCATGTTACAGCAGCAGCCCACAGCCAGACTGCTGCTTCGTAGAATAAAGACACGTGCTTTGTAAACTCTTCTAAGACCCTTCATGTTTTTTTGCAAAATTTCTCTGAAAAGTTCGACTCCTATTTCAGAGAAGCTAAGGGATTTGCCTGCCTCCAGGCACAGTTAGAGAAGAGATCTGAAGCCTCTGGAGTGGCGGGCCCTGATCATTCCACCTTGGGACCCTATGAGACAGAAAGAACTTTAAAACTTGGGTGGAAGGAGGACAGGGGAAGATGAAGACAAGCAGCAGGGGCGGCTCCACAGTTGCCTGTTCCATCTCATGAGAGGAGAGGTCTGCAGGTGGTGTGAATGCATGGGGAGGGCGTGCCAGTACTCACCTGGCCCCACAGAAGTTCTCCAATGCCAATGAAGAGACACCACAACCACTGGGACAGGCTGAGTTTTGTACAACTGAAGGGTGTTCCCCCAAATTCCACAATGAGAACCTAAAACAGAGAAAGGGGCAGCTCACCATCAGGGAGGTGAGTCACAGGGAAGGCCACCAAAGCTACATCACACCCCTGTCCCAGGATCCTAGTGGTACAAATCCCAATTTGCTTACTGGAGAAGAGGAAAGAAGAAATTAAAAAGAGGAGAAGGGGAGAAGGGGAGACACACCAACAGAGCACTCTGCTGGGGAGACAGACACAGTTTCTATGACTATGACTAATGTAAGATCCGGGAAAGCGAGGGCAGCTGGTGGCTCCTTGTGATTAAAGTGAGTGGGTGACAGAGAGAGAGCACAGCGATGGAGAAGAGGAACTGAGGATGGGGGCGAATGAGGGAGGTACTCTGCTGAGGGACAGGGCAGGAGCTCTTTTGTCATGTGACAATCTCATACTCTCTTGTATGCACAGATGTTTTACTGTACCTCTGATTAGGGCAAGGAGGAAGGGGACCGACACTTTTACCACCAGAGCAGCCATGCCCTTGACCCTAGTTCCCACAGGAGGAGCCCAAGCCAGGCTTCTATGTCAACTGCATCACTTCCCTTTCTCTCTGAATTGTGCATCATTTTCTACCACGAGCCCTTTCAGAACAAAGGGACAGGAACACAGAGAGAGCCCGTACTACGTGTTCACACACATTTCATGTATGCTGCAGGAGGCGTGGAAAGGGGCTAAGAGAGAGTGACCCTTCTCTTGGTCCCTTTGTGAAATTTCTGTGTATTTAGAAAGATCTGAAAATATTCTACAAGTCTTTATTTGCAATCAACATGCTGCCTTGCACTGCAGCATGTGACACACTGGGCTCCAGTTCTAGAACAATGTATAAATGGAAGCAAACTGGGAACCCCAAAGTGTTCAACCCACAGCCGCACTCCCTATTACTCTCTTACTTTTCTTCCTGGATACTTAGGGAATCCTGACCCCCAGTTTCTGGCCTTCATCCTCCCAGACCTTCTACCCCAACTCCGGATAGAATCTCACCTGGCCGACAAATGTGCCCAAGACTACAGAGCAGAAGATGAGGTTCTGGTAGATGCCTGCAAAGACATTCCTCTCTCCATGGATCTTTCGGGAGTTAATTTCATTGAAGAGCTGCATCAGCACGAAGGTGTTGAAAACAATGGTATAGTGCTGGCTGGGTGGTGAATGTAGAGGTACCTTCCTCCCACTATCAATGTCGAAGAATTTCTCACCTAGTGTGGAGAGAGAAGCATTGGAGGGTGAGTGTGGTCTGCACTAGGAGTCAGAACACCTTGGTACGGCCATGCTGGTGGCTTGTGGCCGATGTCCATTCTAACTGGTCAGTATCGGAGCTATACTAGTTATCAAATATCTTAAATGTTAGCCCTGGTCTCAATATCTGACCCTCTTGCAGTGTACACTGGAGTCATGTAGACATAGGCTTGAATTTTAATGCTACTATTTACTCATTATGTGACCTAAGCTTGAGTTGTCTCATCTTTAAAAAAGGGATAACAAAGTCACCCTTGTGAAATTCTTAAGAGAAGTACATAAAATAGGATAATGCACCATGCAGTGGGGACACAGGAAGCTGCTGTTATTCCTGGTCTGTGCTCCGCTTGCTCCCACGTTACCTTCCTTCCTCAGGCCATTGCCTGCCTCCGTCTCCATCCAGCGCCCCAACCACTATCCCACGCCCACCCCACCCCCACCTGTGTGGCTCACCGGCAAAGACAAGGAAAAAGATGACAGTGAGCTGATAGACCGAGTGGCCCAAGATGTTCTTCATCATAGTACGTGAGATCAGGGGCTTATTTCGGCCATAGGGGCGACGCTTCAACAGAGAATTCGTAGGGGGCTCGGTGGCCAGGGCCAGTGAAGCAAAAGTGTCCATGATTAGATTAACCCACAACATCTGCACAGCCTTCAATGGGGAATCCTGGTGGGAAGAAGCAGCAATCCTTTTAGCCTTCCTGAGAAACCACCCCCACCTCACTCACCAGCCGTACCTTTGCCTTTGAGATGGCTTAGCTCCCACTACCCACCTTATTAGCTGAGTGGCCTTGAGAAAGTCACTTAACCTCTTTAGACTTCAGGTTCCTCACCCGTGAAATGGGGATAACAATATCAACATTGCAAGTTTGTTTTTAAAGAAAAGATAGTAAATACAAGTGCTCATTACAGTGGCTGATGCATAAGTGCTAAATTAACGGCAGGTAAATTATCATTATTCCACATAAGCAGATGGCATCAGTGGACCTAGCAGAGCTTTATCCTGCCCCAACATCACTGGGAAAACCCTTGTCCTTATTCTCAGTAGACACACTGTGTCGCCTACCCTGTGTTCCTTAGTCCCTGCCTCACCCACCCGCCCCATCTTAGCCCGGCCCACACCCACTTCACCTGAGTGATACAGGCTCCAGTGAAAGCCACGATCACAGCCACCACATTGACAGTGAGCTGGAACTGCAGGAACTTGGAGATGCTGTCATAGACGTTTCGTCCCCACATCACTGCCTTCACGATGCTGGTGAAGTTGTCGTCCGTTAGAATGATGTCTGATGCCTCCTTTGCTACATCCGTGCCTGCAATACCCTGACGTGAGATGGGGACGGAGAAAGGTGAGGAGCTGGATAAAGCACAGCTTACCTGCATTCCGACCCCAGAGTCCACTTCCTGACCTCCGAGAAGCTTCAGAGCTATGTGTAAACACTAGAGGGCACATTAGCCACACAAAAGAAAATGAGGAGAAAGCGTGTCACTGTCACCCTAGAGAAAAGAGGGCCGGGGCCTCATGCCACTGCCTTACTCCTGAACTTCAGACTGGGAATTACTCATCTTTGATATCTCTTCCTCCCTCCCGTCCCATTCCCCCTACCTTGGAAACTGAAAGATAGGGAACAAATCTTATCTATTCCACTACCAAATTCTATTTCTTTTGCCACTGCCAGTATCTTACTTAAGTCCTTGTCCCCCGCACCTTTAAAAAACCCTACATTTTGTCCTAGGATTAGTAGTCCGGCAGCACAGTTCAGGTGTTCTTTCCTTGTTCAAAATCCTGTCATGGGGGAGCCACTAAAGGTTTCTAAACAGACACATCAATGATTGAAAGCTGTGCTTTCAAAGTAGTAAACTTTCCAGCCTGGCAGTCCATGCCCCCAACAAGTGGGCCCTGATTCATTTTCCAACCTGCCATTATGTAATCTTTCTGCTCAAAACCTACCAGTGTATAACACCAAGGGCAAGGGTTTGGTTCCCCATACCAGCCAGCTGCCAAAAAAACCCCAAACCAAAACCAAGGCCAATCCTACTGGTTTATTCACAATCCCCTGCATCTTGCATTCACTTCTAGAGCCTAGGCTTCTAGTCAAACCATTTCCCCAACCCGAGACATCCTTTTTCCCCATCTCTTGGAAGCCTGTCTATCTTTACAGTCCCATTCAATTAAACCCTAATTGCTTTGCAAAGCTGTCCCTAACATTCCTAGCCCATAGTTCTATTCTGCATCTTGCAACTCCTATAACCCGCAGAGGAACCTTATTCTTTAATTTGCTGTGTACTAGTAGATTAATTGTTCTCTTTACTCAGAAGTATTATTTTCTATCCAGATTGTAACAAATGGGTCTCCATTAGATAAACTATACCACTGAGTTCCCCATCAAAAAGTTCCTTAAGTGGGTGTGATAGAGTGGTGAGGGAAAGCATTTGAGTAGAGATGTTACTGTAGAGAGAGTATCCCTAAGGACATCTGATTGCAGACAGAGGGAACAGCAAGGGCAGTGAATCAAGGAAGAGAAAGGAGGCCAGCATGACTGAAGCAGTCTGAGTAAGGAGAAAGACAGTCGTAGGAAATACAGTCAACGGAGCCAGTTAGCTCAGTTAGTTAGAGTGCGGTGCTGACAACACCAAGGTCAAGGGTTTGGATCCCCATACTGGCCAGCTGCCAAAAAAACAAAAAAACAAAAAAAAAAAAGGAAGAAGAAGAAAAGAAAGAAAGAAAAAAAAAGATTAGTGGAGACAAAGAAAGAAAAAATTCCTTAACTCAGCCACACAATGCCACACAATATACCGTAAAACAAAATGAGGAATATGGCTATATTATTACAAGTATGGAACAATCCCCAGTGGTGTTAAGTGAAAAAAAGCAAGGTGAAAGAAAAAAAGAGTGTACAGTAGGGTGTCATTTATCTAAGGCGGTGGGATATAAATATATTACACATTTGATTTTATATATATATATATATATATTTTTTTTTTGTCTTTTTGTCTTTTTCCGTGTCCGGCAACGGATCGCAACCCTCAGTGTCGCCCCCGTACCGGACCGGGACCGGCAACGGGATCACAACCCTCGGTGTTGCTCCCGCACCTCGCTCAGCCAGTGAGCGGGAACCGGTCTGTATGTGGGATCCGAACCCTCGGGCGGGAGCGCCGCCGCGCTTCCCAAGCGGCGCACTGTAGCAGTGCGCCACCGGGCCGGCCCTTGCTTATATTTTTAAAAAGCAAAAAGATAAACTAAAAACTAAAGAAAAAAGTTACCTGTGGGGTTAAGAGGGAAGCAACAGGGCGAAGGTAACAGGGACAGAAGCCAGATTTCCATGAATATACCTTGTTTGGTATATCTGACTTTAGAACCATGTAACTATTTTATGCAAATAGAAAACAAAATTAAATTTAAGAAGCAATCTCTAAAATGAAAAGTGAAATGATAGAAACGAACTGGTACAGCCAGTTGGTAGATAAATACACAAAAGAAAATGTTCCAAACGACTTTAAAACATACTAATTTGATGGTATATTCCTAGGATATACCTACGGATAAAAAGGATTACAAGAAAAATGTTTAACTGTCTTTAGTAGACTAATTGTATTATTATTATTAATATTATTATTTTGAAACTATTACATATATTTTAGGATAAAGCAAATGATAATTATGTTAATGCCATTAGGAATCAAAAGTTTTAGCTTTAGAGATACAAATGTATAATTAGGGAAGTCAAATAAAATTGGAAACAGAAATTGGGAAGTTAGAATTCTGTAATTCTAAATTTGAATGGGAAATACGAATATGAGCTCATAAATTATTTTATCTTTAAAACAAACACAAAAACAAAAGTAAGATAAAAGAGCATATTTCTTAGCTTTGTTCATTGAAAAGGCCCCAAAACAATAATCTATGCAGTAGCAAGGAACATCCTTGCACTCCGATTGTGTTCTCTAAATACCATTTCTCATTAAAATGAAGGACTCCTTGGAGAAATGGACGATTACAGATCTAGGACAAGAAATGTGCACAATGTCTCTGGAACATCTTATCATGCAAGAAACCAAGGCAGCTAGGAAAGACAACTGAAATTCTATCAAGAGGACTCAGCAACATTGAAGAGGCTTCTCCTGGCTAATGATGAGTCAGTTTGAACATCAAAATAATAATAAGGGCAATGGATTGAAACACATTAAATATACTTAAGTCTGTGAGTTTGTAATGGTACTTTAAAAAATAAACAACTCATTTAGTCACGTTTGGAGGATCCTATAAAGTCAACTCATTATTTCGGAAACTGGTAAGTAAAGGAAAAAAATCAAGCATTTAACCTGCTTCTCATATAGGAAGTGAACCTCAGAGTAACCACATAACAGATAAGGGGAAATCTTTTTTTACAGAAGTAGTCAAGTTAATAAATAAAGAAAATTAGAATACCATCATTTTGCAGCTCCTACTGAAAGAAGGGATCTGGAATCTGATTGCTTCTAGAACCAACTACTTGTTTATAGGAAATATAGGGACAAAAGAACACTATGTTAAAGGACACTATGTGAATCCACACTTGAATAGTCTACATAGCAATTAACCCGGTTCCTTCAAAACTAAATAGCTAGGAAAAAAAAGATGGAAGAGTACTGTACAGGAAAGAGTTAACACAGCCCGCCTGAGACTGCGATCCTTAGAAAGGCCTGCTTGCAAGGTTGGCCCTTGTCCAGCATCTGGGAACTTGGCTCTCCGAATGCTCCCAGTCGACAACTGACGAGGGTGGTTCACTGTGCCTTAAAACACTATGGTTTGTATAAACACCTGCTTTCCTTCTGTGAGTCTGGAATTTTGTTATGTGCTAGGCAGAAGGAGCCTATGTGACCAGCCCCAATGAAAACCTTGGTGCCAAATCTGTTGTGGGTTTTCCTGGGCAGAAACATGACACACGTATGGCTGCATTTTCATAAACAGGGGAAGGATGAGCTCTGTACGTGCATCCTCCTGGGAGGGAGAGCATGAGGAAGACAAGTGGAATCAGCCAGACTCTGCCAGTGTCTTTTTCTCTTACGATCAGACTGTATCCTTACTATATTGCTGGAATAAATCTTAGCCATGAGTACAACTATATGCTGAGTCCTGTGAGTCCTTCTAGTGAATCCATGAATATAAGTATAGTCTTGGGGACCCCTGACACAGGTGACTGTATCCTTACTATATTGCTGGAATAAATCTTAGCCATGAGTACAACTATATGCTGAGCCTGTGAGTCCTTCTAGTGAATCCATGAATATAAGTATAGTCTTGGGGACCCCTGACACAGGGATCCTACATGACCAGTGGTTCTCAAACTTTAGGGTGCATCACAATCACTGAGAGGACTTCTTAAAACATGGGTTGCTGGGCCCCAACTGCAGACTTTCTGATTCAGTAGGTCTGGGGTGTGGACTGACAGTCTGCATTTCTACAGGTTTCCAGGTGCTGCTGGTATAGCTGGAAGGAGAAGCACACTTCAAGAGCCACTGTTACAGATTAAGGGACTTAAGAGATGTATTAAGAAATTGCAGAGGGCCGGCCCGTGGCTCACTCGGTAGAGTGCGGTGCTGATAACACCAAGGCCGTGGGTTCGGATCCTATATAAATGGCCGGTTTGCTCACTGGCTGAGCGTCGTGCTGACAACACCGAGCCAAGGGTTGAGATCCCCTTACCGGTCATCTTTTAAAAAAAAAAAAAGAAATTGCAGGGCTGGCCTGTGGCTCACTTGGGAGAGCGTGGTGCTGATAACACCAAGTCAAGGGTTAAGATCTCCTTACCAGTCATCTTTAAAAAAAAAAAAACAAATAAACAAAAAAAATTGCAATGAATAAAGCTTATCTGGATTCTGATTTGGAAAAATAAGCTATTAAAAAATATTTATGAGTCAATTGGGGAAATGTGAACACTGACGAGATATTTGATAATAATAAGGAATCAATTTTATTATGAGATAATGGTATTACGATCCTTTTAGACATATTTTATTGATACGTATCATTTAGAGACAGGAATTAAAATTTTTATGAATGAAACCACAGGATGTCTTGGATTTGCTTCAAAATAATTCAGCTGGAGGTGGGGGAAGCTGGTGAGGGGGTCGGTGGAACAAGACTGGCCATGGGTTGATAATTGTTGACACTGTGTGACATGTACATGGGGATTCATTACACAATTCCCCCTACTTTTGCATACTCTTGAAATTTCCTAGAATAAAAGCTTTTTTTTTTTTTTTTAAAAAAAGAGAGCCCTCTAAAGATAATTTCTTGAACATCCTTCCACTGCTTAAAAACCACCAAGAGTTCAATCTGTAAGAGTACTTCAAAAAGTTTGTGGAAAAATTGAATTAAAAGATAATATGAATCCTTCCATGAACTTTTTGGAGACCCCTTGTATACGGGAGACTTACAATCATAAGCTACCTGAGGGTGAGGAAGTCCTTTGTAATTTGGCTGCTTCTAAACCTCCCTGAAGATCAGAAACAAACTGCTCTGCCTGCTAAAAATAAAAAACCCAAACATTTTTT